GTGGGCGCCTGCCCCGACGCTGGCGCGTTCAGTGGGGAGGGCGGGCAGGGGTGCAGCCGTGCTGGGGACGGGGTCCCCCAGTGGGGTCCCCATCGGAACCACCCCAGAGCTGCCAGTACGGGGAGACGTGAGGCCATCCCTGTGGGTCCCACCTGGTTCTCCAGGAACGGCTGCAAGGAAACCCTCCACGGATGCAACAGAGGGAGCGGGTTGTTCTTCCTCCTCCTCCTCTTCTTCCTCCTCTTCCAAAGATGCAGCAGGCATCCCACGGTCAGCACCCGGGGGTGGTGGCACGTCCTCCTCGTGCCATGGTGTGACTGCCGTCACTTCTGCCGCGGTTTTTTTTTCTCGTCCCCCGGGGCCATGAGCGAGGGGACCCACAGGGTCCCCGACTGCTCCTCTCCCTCCTCCTGTGGCTGCGAGGGTGCGGGGGGCAGCGGGGGCACCCTGGGGATTTCAGCCACATCTCCTGACAGCTCCGCGTCTTCGGCAGTGGGGATGGGGGTCCTTGCCCCACCAGCCTCATGGCCATGTTGGGGGGTCTCACCAGGCTCTTGACTCTCTGTCGAGGTGGCAGAGGTGACACCGGTCAGCGGTGTCACCTGGTGCCCTGGTGCCCCAGAGCTGGCAGCGTGGGCTGGTCGCCCCACAGCATCCCGCGGGGGGTCGGGGCAGTGCGTAGGGGTGACAGGACTGGGCGGCTGGAGAAACCCCTCGGGAGGCTCCGTGTCACCTGCTGCAGCCCCAACCGCGGACGAGGTGTCGGTGGGTCCCTCTGTGCCCACCCGCGGGGTCATGGAGAGTATCTGGGTGCTGGCAGCTCCATCCGGCTCTGTGGGCTGGCTGGGGTCTCGCCCTCCACCCGGGATCTCCGCTGATGTGCTGCCAGGGTCCCTGCCCGGCGCTGCTCCTTGGTCCTCCTCTGCAAAGGTCAAGGTGGAAAGACAGTGAGACGCCGGCACTGGGGAACCAGCTGGACTGTGGGCACCAGCATCACCCGTCAGCACTGCAGATCCTGCCCCAGGGTGGGCAGAGCTGGGGGCTGACAATGACACAAAGGTGCCCAGAAATGGCCCTGAGCCCATGTGACATTGTCCCCTCTGAACCAGCACATCAAACCAAGCTCTGGCACGGCCACTGCCAAGCCCAGCCCTGGCACAGGCTTCCCTGTGGCAGGGGGCGCGCACACACCCCCCCCCC